ATTTAATTTTGAGCTTTCTGTGTTGTTTTTAAGTGTATCTCTTTGTTTAATTTTTTTACTTTCCCTTTGTCTGAGAATGTTTTGATTTCTCCTTCATTGTTGAAGGATATTTTCTCTAGATGTATGATTGTGGGGTGACAATTCTATATGCATTTCTTTTAGCACCTAAAGAGTATCGTGTTCACTTCCTTCTGGCCTCCATGGCTTCTGATGAAAACTAGTTATTCTAATTGTTTTCCCCTGTAGATAAAGTGTCACTTATCTCTGGATGCTTTCAGAAAGATTTTTTGTTTGGTATTTTGGCCTGTAGTGATCAGAAGTTTGATTATGACGTGTCTCTGTGTGAATTTCTTTGAGTTTATCTTGTTTGGGATTTTTTTTCAGCTTGTTGAAAATGTAGATGTATGTTTCTTGCCAAATTTGGAAAGCTTTCAGCTAGTATTCCTTTGTGTACTTTTTCTCACTTGCCTTCTCTCTTCTCTTTTCAAGGCTCCAATAACACAAATGCTAGGTTTATGATACAGTTGTCTCTAGGTATCTGCAGGGGACTGGTTTTAGGACTCTTCTCAGATACCAAGGTCTGCAAATGCTCAAGTCCCTGCTATAAAATGTGAAACTTGGCTATTTATTATTTTTGCTTGTGATTGCTTTGGCTACTTAGACTCTTTTTCAGTTCCATGTGAGTTTTAGGATTGTTTTCTCTAATTCTGTGAAAAATGATATTGGTATTTTGATAAGAATTACATTGAATCTACAGATTGCTTTGGGCAGTATGGTCATTTTCACGATATTGATTGTTCCAGTCCATGAATATGGGATGTGTTTCCATTTGTTTGTGTAAGGTTATTTTAATGTTTTGCTGCTTTGTAAAAGGGATTGAGTTCTTAATTTGATTCTCAGCTTGGTTATTGTTGGTGCATAACAGTACAGTACTGCTAATTTGTGTACATTGATTTTGTAAGCAGAGACTTTACTGAATTCGTTTACCAAATCTAGGAGTCTTTTGGAGGAGTCTGTAGGGTTTTCTAGGTACACAGTCACATCATTGTTGAACAGCAATAGTCTGACTTCTTCTTTTCTAATTTGGACACCCTATATTTCTTTCTCTTACCTGATGGCTCTGGCTAGGACTTCTTGAACAATGTCTTCTGTAATCTCCCAGTACACAGATTTTTTCCCTCTCCCCTACACATTTTCCTGTTGATCTGATCTATGAGCTTTACAGTTTCCATTTGGTATGTGTGTAGTTTTTTCATTTTTTCAATCATGTTTATAATTTGTCACTGAATAATTTTTATCATGAATGTTTTAATATCTTTCTCAGATTTCAAAAAGAACAATCAGTAGATGCCAATCCCTGTCATTGACATCTGATTGTCTTTCTTGTCTTTTTGGTTGTATAGTTTGAGATCTTTCCCAGATTTTTGTATGAGGAGTGATTTTGTATTGAAAGTTGGACATTTTGATGATATGAGACTCTGAATCTTGCTTAAGCCTTCTGTTTTAGCTGACTTTCTCTGACTCTGTTCTGTCAGGGGAAGGATGGGTGCTGCCTCATTACTTCCAATAAGGCACAAGTCCAGGTTTCCCACTTGGTCAGGATAGAGCTCCTTGTTACTGCTGGGTGAGATTGGGAGTCACCAGTCCCCATGTTGTCTCTACCAACACAGCAGCAAGGGTTGCCTTCATGACCAATTGGTGTTGGTGAAAGCCCTGACCCTCCATGGCCTCTTATGACATCACCTCAGTGAGGAGGAGGAGGAGCATCTTGTTACTGCTGGGTGTAAGTGTAAGTCCATACTCCCTACATAGTTTCCACAGACACTGCGGCAGGGATCAGGGCCTTGTTACTGGTCTATGACGATGGAAGTCCTGGATCACCACTTGACACTGCTTCAGTGGGGATTGGGCTGTCTCACTACAGCCTCTTCAAAGTCCAAGGCTTGGCCCCCTCACCTCTTGGACGTTGCTGGCATGTGTGTTGTGATGGGGTGGGAGCACATATTTTCTGTAGTATTTGGCAAGAATAGAGAGGTTAATGTCTAAAAGTGTTCTGTATAGCTGGGCTGTCCAGTTCTTTGTTCTCTGGCTAAACAGAGCAGGATGTTGGTTATTTTTATTTATTTATTTATTTTTTGTCTGCACCCATTGGCATTTTTACTTGCTGGCTTCTTTAGCCCCAAATCTGGGATTATATGACACAAAAAGGGAATGCAGGAACTCACCATTGTGTGGTTCTTTGGGTCCTGAGTTCCTGGGCTGATCTGCTTCCTCTTCTCTACCTTTCATAGTCTGTGTGTGTGTGTGTGTGTGTGTGTGTGTGTGTGTGTGTGTGTGTTCTAATATAATGTCCAGGATTTTTTACTGAACTTAGCAGGAGAAATAGAAAAGGTATGTCTGCTCTATCTTCCTGGATGCAAAGATGTAAAAATCCTTTGTGCTTTTCAAGACCCTCAGCATCCTCATCAGGCAGCATCCTGCAGCCTGCCTATCACATTCTAATAATTAAATAGACGTATCAATGGTCTGCTTTTATCACTTTCATTAATGTGTTACTACTCTGTCTACTGGGTCATTTCAGACTTACTGCAATCCTGCACCAGGAAAACACGTTTGGAGTAATTATGATTCCCTTTCCCAATATTTTGTTTGTGTCTCTGTTGCCACCCAAGTCTAAGAAGCCACATAATATCTATAATAACTAAGGGATTGCTTAAGGCATGCTTTGGCATGACAAAGAACTGGTATTGGAAGCATACTGTTTGTGAGAAATTGTGCTTCCCCTTCTAAAGCATACACTTATTTCTTCATGCCAGAAATGAAAGGAAGAATACCTGAGAGCCTTACGTTCTGTGGAAGTGTTTTTTACCTGATTGTTTGACACTAGCTATCTACTCTCTATCTTTTACCACTTCCTCACATTTCCAGCCCACCAATCCCCTCTAACTTGACCTCTGGTTAGGAGATTTGGATACAGAAAGCAAGGATATTCTATATAAAAGGTGCTTGATTCCTAGTAATCCCTCTGATCTGCTCCATTGGCTGGTATATTATAGGTCCTCAGTAACCACAGAAATTATATAGTAACAGAATATTAATGTGCAATGATCCTGATATCTAGTATATTCCACCAAGTGGGGTACTGATGGAAGGAGGCTAACTGGAACCGGCCTTCTAAAGCATTGTAGAATAAATTCGAATTATATGAACATGAATTCCAAGGATAAGAGTATCCATGAAATAGCAAACCCAATTTTGTTATTTTAAGTTTATCTTTCAAGCATTAAAATAATTACCCAATAAATAAAAGTTAAACATATGTAAGAACTTTTATATTTTAATTCTCTGTTTTTAGCTGCTCGTAGAAACACATTTGATTGAATTCTGAAACTGCTATGACATTTTGCTTCAAAAGACAATGAGAGATTCATAGAGAGTTAAGAATTGACCCGAAATTTTAATTTTTAGAAATAAATGTAAATTACTCTTATTCTTTATTGGACAAAATGCACTTTCCAGAGTAAACTTTGTACCCTTAGACTATTTGTTTTCTGAGACAGGCTTCAAAACGATAATGAGCCTAAAAATAACTTACATCAAATGTGTAACTTGGTAAGTTCATAAGATTGTTACATATTGACATATGAAAGAAAACATACAAGTAGAAATTTTAAGTTTTGTCTTTTCAATTCAATGGTTTTGCAATGAAAATGTAATTAAAGTTTTGGTTTCAAAATGCATTTGTTCTAATGTATTTTGCTTTTCTAAATGCAAACTTTTCCCAAATAATTTCAATATTGTTATTCAAGTAAATAGCAATAATAATTAGTGGAAGCATAATACAATTTGGATTGTAGGAAATGTTTGAAGCTGATGTATAAAATAATATTGTGTTTCATATGGAAAGGAATGATTTAAAAAGTAGAAAAAGATAAATGATAATTTCTAGTGTTTACTATGAGGTTTTTATAATTTGTGGCCCGAATAAAAAAATATATCACCATATGTATATAATTGTCTGGAGGGTTTGTTTTCCCTGTAAAGGTGGTGCTTTTTCAGTCATTCCAATAGCTTGGTTACTTTTGTTCGTTCATTCATGTATTCCTATTTTTATCCAACAAAACTGTTAAGAACCCACTCTTGTCAATGTCACCCTATTCCTAACACATAGTATGTGCCATACACAAAGGTTTTATGAATAAAAGACAAAGAAAATAGTACCTATGCCTACAATTATATATAAATTAAAAAATAAAAGCTGCTCTTAATACATAAAGGAGATTTTTCAATGGTAATACTATATTTTAATGGATTTCAATTTAGTAAAACATATACAAATTATTCCCTCTGAACATATTTTATTATCATCTGTAGAGGATACCATTATTACATGAAATCATGCCTAAGTGCCCTGGTCAAGAAATATTACATAAAGTTATTTGCTTTTAAATTTGTGTGGAATGAAACTTAAAAGAACCACAAAGAAAATCTTAGAGGCTAAAGCTGGAAACATTAGGAAATTTTTAATAGCATCATTTTTTATTCTTGACAGTTTCATTATCACACTACCTCATTTTTGTTACCAGTAATTTTCAGAAGTGACAGAAGTTTATATGATGAAAGTAAATGCAACACATATTCATAATAAGAAACAATTGAGAAATTATTAATTGTTGGTTAATATAGCCAAATTCGCTTTTAAGAATGTGTGTTAAGTAGGGTTAGTGTCTGATTTATAAGCAGTTTATTTCATCTCTTTTCATGTGATATTATAACTGTTTAAAAGTATTTATAGTGTAAACTCTTTTGTACTTTCATGTATATATTGGATACGATAATAAGGTATAGGGAATATTGACTGAGAAAGAAAATTTTCTTTGTGTAAAATCTGTGATGAATGGGGCAAGGAGATCAGCCAACTACTTAATGAATCATGACCTATTTAGGAAGCTCTGAGTACTTCTCATTAGGGAACCTAACCTTGTTCTTTATTCAGTTGTGTCATATCATTAAAAATTACTCCTGTAGTAGAGGCTCCGTCCACTCCACATGTGGACCTTTACTTGTTCTTGAATACAAGAATCTTCAAATATATCTCCGAGAGTCATGTTAAAGCATTAAATGGCTAGAAATTTAATATAATCAATTTACAGCTTTTTTTGGAATGCTTTGTAATGTTATGGCTTCAACACTGAAAAAAAATTATTCTCTTACTGACGTGTTTACTATATTTAAGTAATCTCTGTGAATAAACATAATATTCTATATCTATAGTTTGAATGAATTGTATGGTTCAAATCCTAAGATACTTTAAATTGCTGGAAGAATTCATATGGTTATATAAATCAAATACATTAGAAAATTTGAAAAATTTATTTGTGGCCTAGGTTATAATATATAAATGTGGCCATTCATTTAGTTATTTACACATATTAAAACCACACCTGAAATTATGTAAAAATATGATTTGTAGCAAATGCATTTCTATAGTATATTCTAAATATACTTGGTTTTAAGCCATTAAGTCTGTAGGCAGAATCTAGAGTACTCCTTTGTTTTGATAAGTAGCTTCAAAAGTATAGTGAGTATACCTAAAGCCTTTGGAATGAGGAATTGTAAATGGAGAAACTGTGATACCCATACAGTCCTTGATTTTAAAGCTTGCACTAATTATTTTGTATATTATAGGAAATTAATTTCAATTTAATTATTCAGAAATTAGTAACTGAATAATAATCTCTGTAGCATATGGTCTATCTGAAACGTACAAAATTTCTTTGTATTCTCTGAGCGTGTTTGGTTAAGTTCAGCCAACAGGTTGCGAATGCCTATCCCTAGTAAATATTGGTTCATGATAATTGTGACCATCTTTTAGTTCTTGTTTGTCTGACTCACTGGAGGGATTCTATTTGGAAAGAGGATCTACAGGGAAGTCAAAGATTAGAAATCCCAGAACATTTTTGTAACCCATACATTGTAGAATATTGTCTCTGTCATGATTAAATATTGGAGCAAGGATTGATTTTTATTTATTAGTCTTACAACTGAGAATTTTCTTAAGCCTGGTAGCACCTAAAATCAATCTGAGCTTTGATTCCTTAGCTTAAAATAAACAATCAAAAGTCCATTGCATGACATTAGCCTTATTATTTAGGCAACATTTTAGAGCCCTAAGTGCTCAGGCAATCTGATGGTTTAATCAGATGACCATTCTCTCTGTCAGTTCTTTGTGACATAAGCAAATACCTCTTCTGGAAACTAGCATCCTTTGAAGAGATGTGTTTCATAAATCAAACATTTGTAAATACACGTCTTTAATATTTATTCCTAGGTTGGTGAGACCAGATGCAAAAAAGTTTGTACTTCTAAGTCTGATCTGAGATCTAATGACTTCAGCATTGTCGGAAGCTTACCAAGAGATTTTGAATTATCCAATTATGACTGCTATGGAAAACCCATTGAAGTTAACAATGGACTTGGGAAATCTCAGGCTAAGAACAACAAGAAGCCTCCCCCTGCGAAACCTGTTATTCCAACAGCAGCAAAGCGAATTGATCTTTACGCAAGAGCATTGTTTCCTTTCTGCTTCTTGTTCTTCAATGTTATATATTGGTCTATATATTTATGATAACTCTTTTCCATTTGTACGAAATAAAATTCCATTCCATTGTGACCTACTCCATTAATAAATGCCAACCTGTGAGAACTTTTGAATTTTCATAGCAACATTGCATTTTGGATGCCATTTGATTGTAATAAAATTGTGGCACCTTAATTTTGAACGGCAGCATGATCATGTAATGTCTGTGCTCTAATTATGTATATATGTATAGTGAACATATTGCTTTAAAAATAAAAGAAGGATAAGCATACTACATAATATAATTCCAACAGTTCTCTTCAGTTAGCATAAACTGCAAATACTATGAATAATTCTGATAATAAAATGATATGCACGCTGAATCCTGCTATGATCACCATTCTAATGTCTGTAATATTTCAAATTTCCTTCCTCGTAAATTTCAAAGAAAGCCATCTTATTCTTGTATAATTTTAAATGGTATTATCACAGAATTTAAAAAGTTGTATTACATATTGTTTAAACTTTGTAAGTAGAAATATATCAGTTATAATTATGCGGGCTCTGTGGAGAAATAAAGTTCAGAAAATATTAATTTGTAAAACCAGCTCATTTTAAAGTGTGTTTGTGTTGTCAAAATATCAGATAGTAATACATAGTAAGCATTTTAAAACAAAGGTAAACCTATATTTATGTAAATATATACTGAATTCTGACCAAATAAAAAATTAAAGATAGCTTATTCATTAAATATTTAAGATAAACAAAACTCTATTTAATCCACCTTAACACCTAAACATATTTTCATGGATTTCATTTGTTGGTGCATATTACACAAAACATTGTGCCTTAAAAAGAGTGACACGTATTTTAAATTGGAATGCAGTAATAGATACATGGCTTTACATCATTTTAAAGAAACCAAGAAGAAGTAAAAAGTTGAAAAATAAATCCATAATTATTAAAATATTTTAACTTTTTATTTTATTAAAATGCTTGCACATTTTAAGTAAAATTAAAAATGTTTTCTGAATTTATTTTTTTCTTTGAATATTTTGGAATTTGTTACAAAATATTTAGAGATTAAGTAAATAATATCTTTGTTTGTATTAGACTTCACTTCTACTTGTATTTTATTTTTTGTTAAAAGTCTAGACAACTGAGATTTACTTACTTTGAACTTGTTCCAACCCAAAAGTAATCACTAAGTCTCATTTTATGAGACCACCGTTTCTTAATATATCTAGTGCACCTTTGTCATTCGGCTATATATGGAATAGAACTGTCAGTAATTCACATAGATAAACATAAGACTAAAGAAGTATATTTACATTATTTGGAGAGTTTTGCTGCAGCTAAGAGTTTGTATGGCAGATTCAATAATAAAGTATTATTTATGCAAATTCCCATATGTAATTCAGTACTATTCAATTTATTGAATCCTTGAATTTTTAAGATTCTCACTGATTACATTATTTTTAATGGGATACAATTGAATCCTTTGTAGCCCTTCAGCACCCTCTAGTTGTAAAGGAGACATCTGAATAATTTTACAGTGCTGTGAGTAACCCTGTTGATGGACTTAATATCTTCTAAGACCCAGGGCTAGAGCATTTTAATGGGACTATGGTAAGAAAAAAAAATGAATAGGATTTAAATCACTTAAAATATTTACTTGTAATAATTTCATTTGCTTATAATCTGTTTTCTTTATTTTGGCAAGTTTCATTCATATTAGGGAATTTGATCTAGATATGAAGTTTTAAGTGGAAGATGTACCATATTGAAGACAGATCTCATTATACAGAAATTTATTTGTGGAAAATAGTATAAATGAATTACTTTTCTGTAATATATTGTAGCTTCTTAGGATCAATTTTAATACACAAGTATATATAAATAGCTATCCCAGGATTAAGTGTGTATGTATAACTACAAATGGAACAGTAGAAAAAGATGATAACAAAGAAGTACAATGAGTGTCCACTGACAGTTGGTTTGTAATTCTTCTCAAAGATTTAGTCATGGAACTCCAGAGTAGTTCTGATCTGTGTACTTTCAAGGTTACATATTCCTAGGAAATTTGCAGAATGTCCACCTGGAGCATCTATGGATACCTCAAATTCAGTGTCTTTAAAGTAAAAATTATCATCTTCCCACAAGTCAGTAGGTTCTCACAAGTCAGATTTTTGATTTCTGTTAAAACCGTTGCTATTCCAGCCACTCATGTTACATTCGTCTTCCTTTCTCACATAGCCTATCCCTTCAAGTACCAAGTCCTGTAAATTCTCCCTCTTTATATCTGTCCCCCCCTCTCCATTCTGGCTGACACCATCCTAATTCGGTTTCTCATTCTATTTAATCAGACTCTTAAAGCAGTCTACAATCTCACTTATTTTTGAACTAACTTTGTAATTTTTATTTTTTAGTTACACAGGCAATACCTGAATGTGTTGATGTATTATAAAACAAACATGTATTTAGAGTCAGTACTTAAAGTTGCTGTTTTCCTTTAAACTATTCTGTCTCTTCCCCAGAGGTCATCATTGTTTTGTATCTATCCAGAACTCATTCTAGGCATTTTCAACATCTATCTATTTTTTAAATATAAAAGATAATGTAGCATAATAAGATATTACTTAAATGGGATTTTGTCTTATGTAGGGGTTTGCAATTTTTTAAATTTAACATGCCCTAGAGTTTTTTCCAGGTGAGGACATATTAGATACTCATAAATTGAGCTTCTGCTATTATTCTATATAATGAATGTGTCTTAATTTATTTTTTAAGTAAAAACTTAGTTTGTTTTTCCTCCAAATACAAAATAGTGTTGCAATAAATATCATTGTGCACAAATGTATATATTCCCACGAGGCAGATGCCAAAAGTGGCGTTGCTAGATTGAAAGATAAGTATATATTAAATTCTGATAGGTTCCATCATTTTCTCTCCAAAAAACTGCTAATGTAGATTTTCACCATGATATGCCAAATTCTTACAGTAGTCAGTCTATTTTATGTTGTGGATACAGACATTACTCATTACTTTTTTTTTTTTT